GGGACACCTTCCGCTAGACCAGGGGGCTAGAATGGTAGAATGAACCAGATCTCAAAGAACATTCCATTTGTGCCTGCCCAATCCTTTTCGTAACCCCATCACTTCCAGTATCATGCTGCATCAGGTAAGTTTTTCCCCATCAAATTATGTGGGTTTATGTGTGAGCCACTGGGAGTTTCCAAAATCCTTCTCCCCAGGCAGTCTCTAACCCTTCCTGACGATCTGCCTTTCTGTTCTGGCAGCTCTTTGCCGTTGTTCAGTCGGGTTCATACCAGCAGTGAGCGCTTCATGTGCAGTCCCACTTGAGAGAGGCTCATTCTCTTCCTTATCCTCTAAGACAATGTCTTGGTTTTCTCCTTTTGAAATCACACTGATCTTACGGTTTTATTTCATCCCGAGTTTGCCTGTGACTTGAGGTTTTGCCATCGTGTTACTAGTTACCAGCTTTCTCCCTTTGACTGATACATTACACCCCTTAACGTGCTCGGTTCCCCGGACAGAATGACGTTACTCTTTCATCTGAGATGTCAGATTGCTTAAGAGTTCTGTTTGGAGGCTGTTTCACGCCATAACTCCATACATTTGAGTCTTCAGAGGACTTTAGGGGCTTCAGGTCCATCATAGAGGCGTCACCGACGGTATCAAAACTACTAGTTGAGCTCTAAAGTGGTTCCAGTCTCCTAAATATGGCGTCTTCTGCCTCCTGTGTGCAGAAGATTCTGTACGTACATGGCTGATGAACTTACCCGAACACTTCCCAGGCTGTTGGAGTCCCTGAAACAGGTGGGGTCTGCCCTAAACATAGAGCAGAGGAGGCCGGCAGTGAGGGGAGTGAGCTGTTGCTGGGCAGTGAGGGAATTCAAACAGTGTTTTCTCCTTTTTTAAAATGAAAAGCTGTGTTGTCTAAGGAACAGGAACTTCCACCCAAGTTTTTCCTGTTCTGGATGATGTGTGGTACCTCTGCCTGGTGATTCCTCAGTCTCCCTTATGGTACAGAGCCAATTTTCTTAGTTTTAGGTCATAGATTTGAATCTCACCTTTCAGCGCTCTGGGAGATGCCTCACACCTGCACAGTGGGGTCCTTTCTCACTCGGACTTCCCAAGAACATGTGTGGTCCTGGAGTACGGATTCAGGTCTTCAGCCGCGCGTCAGGAACTACGGAAGTTGGAGTACAAGTATCTTCTCACTCAGAAACGCCCGGTTAGTGCTTACATACTCATACAGCATAGACCAGCTGCAGCATGTGGTGTGGAGTGGTTTTCATGCTCACACACTCAGCAGCGTTGAGGCAGACTTCCCAAGAACGTGTGTGGTCCTGGAGTACGGATTCAGGTCTTCAGCCGCGCGTCAGGAACTACGGAAGTTGGAGTACAAGTATCTCACTAACTGCTCTAAGACTACACTGCTGGCAACTGGGGTGTTGTTTCCTTTTTTCCCAAGTAACAAGTGGTAGGATGAGAGGAAACGGCCTTGAGTTGTGTCCTGAAGGTCTAGATTAGATATTAGGGAAAATTCCTTCCCAGAAAGGGCTGTTGGGCGTTGGAACGGGCTGTCCAGGGAGGAAGGAGTCACCATCCCTGGAGGGATTTAACAGATGTGTGGACGTGGCACTCAGGGACATGGCTTAGTGGTGGCCGTGGCAGGGTTGGGTTAATGGTTGGACTCCATGGTCTTAGAGGCCTTTTCCAACCTAAATGATCCGATGGTACTGTTACTACAGGCTGTGGTAAAAAGTCTCTCTCCATTTTTCTTATAAGCCCCTTTTAAGTATTGAAAGGCCTCAGTAAGGTCTCCCGGAGCCTTTTCTTCTCCGTGTTGACCAACCCCAGCTCTCTCAGCCTCTCCTCTTAAGAGAAGTGTTCCAGCCCTTGGAGCATTGTCCTGTCCCTCCTCTGGACCCGCTCTATCGGGTCCCTGTCTTGGCCCGGGCACCCCAGGGCTGGATGCAGCACTCCACGTGGGGTCTCACGGGAGTGGGGTAGAGGGGGAGAATTGCCTCTCTCGAAATGCTGCCCATGCTCATATCCAAGTTTTCATCCACCCTTACCCCCAAGTCCTTCTCCGGGCTGCTCCCAGTCCCTTCCTCCCCAAGCCTGTCCTGATCCTGGGGGTTGCCCCAGCCCCTGTGCAGGAGCCTGCGCTCGGCCTTGCTGAACGTCCTGGGCATGTACCTCTGCTGTCGGCTGCCTGGGGCTGGGATGGCTGAGCCGGGGGCTTTGGGGGGCTCCGTATAGATGTTCTTAGTCCTTGACTCAACCACGTGTTGCTCGTTGGCCTGATCCTTCTTTCCTCTCGGCAGCTGGTGATTAGCGCTTCCTTCAGTCTCTGCCGAGTGCGTTCTGCTTTGCGACCGCAGGTCTGAGCTGCGCAGGGTCCCGGTGCACGGCTCATCGCTGCCTCTTGCTCCCTAGGCTTACGGCATCGTGTGGAAAGCAGTCGATCGCAGAACAGGAGAAATAGTCGCTGTGAAAAAGATTTTTGATGCTTTCCGGAACAGGACGGATGCTCAGGTGAGAACCCGTTCTTCTGACATCCTGAGAGATGTGGTGGGGGTTCATGGGTCTCCTCAGGATCCACGTGTCTGGAAGATGGTAGGTGTTGGGCAGTTCTGCACGTACTGCTACAGTCTGCAGCTACGGCAGGATAGAAAGCAGCAATAAGTGTTGAGCTCTGCTTGTGGTGGCATCTACGACATGCTGTTTGATGTCCCCAAGGGAAAGCGCCTTCGTAGGCAGACGCGGGCGATTGTCCCTGATGCCGTTACGCTGTGGTCTGAGCACAGGGTGCACGCTGGGAACCCCAGCGAACGCTGGTGTGTGCTGGCCCAGCGGCCACAGAAGTGTTTCCCTTGCTGGAGAGCTTAGAACGGGCTTCACCCTCTCGCAGGAAGGTCACGCAGTGCTGCCGAGGTGGTAACACGTGGTTCTGTTGTTCATTTCTAGAGAACGTTCCGGGAGATCATGTTCCTGCAGGTAACGTCCATTTTCCCTTTCCTCTCTGGTTCTTAGTCCCTCTGATGTTGTTCCCCTATTTTCCTCACATCCTTTCCAAGGGGCAGTGAGTGGTGGTGGCAATGCTATGAAGTTCTTTCCTGCACCATCTTGGCAAACCGTTTCCGTGGCTGGGCCGAAGCACCCGAGTGGAACGCGAGTGGCTCGTTTTCCCTTCGCGCCCTGCCCCGCTCCTTCCACCTGGTACTTGTCCGGCTGCTCTGGGGTCACCAAGCTGGCTGGCACTTGCTGTCCCTTCTGACTTTTCTTTGGTCAGGAAGTGTTTTCCTTGAATTTTCACCGCCGTGGCTCAGCAGGGGCTGGGGCGTGGGAGACACATGCATGCCAAGTGACTTGTTCTTCTGCCGTGTGGGAAGCAGCTTGTGCGCCCGAAGTAATCGAAGCCCAAGTAGCGGGGAAGTTGGGTATGAAATGACTTCAGGCGTCTCCTGCTGTGATAGAACTGCCCACACACTCCACCCTTGGAGTTACCAAGTTACCTTGGCGGTGGCACTGGCTGCCCACTCCCGCCCAGACTCGGGTGTGAAACACCACTGTCTGGGACTGGGGACAATGACCTCATCGCTCTGAGGCCGCACGCACACCACGGCTCCTGGGAAGAGGTTTTTCCTAGGACTGTCAGGTTTTAGTAGGAAAGAGGTGAGGTTTTTTACTTTTTAATCATTCTTTAAGCCTGAACTAGAAGCCCCAAGATTGAGAGCTACAAGCCCGTGAGACCGACTCCTCACGGGTTAATTGCCGGTACGCCGGAATCTGGCAGCACAGCGCTTCTGGAGTAGGTGGGAGGAGGAGGAGCAGGGGAGAAAAAGGAGGGTGTTTCTCCCGAGGTGGGTCTCGGTGGGGTTTGGTAGCAGGGGAAGGGCCACAGGGATGGCTCCTGTGAGAAGCAGCGGGAAGGTCCCTCAGCTCCGAGTCAGACGCACCTCGGGCTGTGGCCGAGCCAACTGGCACCTCTGGGATTGAGACGTGGGAGAGGGGAAAACCAAAGAGACCCAGAAGCTGAAGCGGAAACTGTGTCTCGGCCTCGGTCCCGGCTATTGTGAGACTGTGCAGGAGAAGGCTTAATATTATGGGGTTTGATACTTCCTGTAGCAGAATTTGTGATGGAAAGCGATGACGTGTGAACTCCTGGTTTGACTAACAAAGTCATTTATGTATTCTGCTCTGCGCAGAGGGTTTGCTGTTTATAACTTTAGGCTCAGGGTAGCTGGGGAAAATGCTGGCGTGTCGTGACGGCGTCACAGTGCCCCCGGCTGTGCAGAAGCTGCGGGAACTCAAAGCTGTTAAGACTGAGGAGGAAGTAAACAAACTTGACCGTATTGTCAGTCTGCAAACGTGAGGGCAGAATTCCCCCCTAGTTTAAGGGAACTGTCGCGGTTTCTCTATACGGGGAGTGTCAGAACCCCTGTTCCAGGCAGCTCAGTCGCTGCAGCCGGTACTTTCATCCCACCCCTGAGCTGACACGTTTGGGCTGGTTGGGGTTTAATTATCAGTGTTGATGGCAATTTTGTTTTCACTGTCACAGTAATTCATGGAATCACAGAATGGTTTTGGTTGAAGGGCCCTCAAACCCCCCCCAGGGCCATCCCCTGCCACGGGCAGGGCCACCTCCCCCAGCCCAGGGTGCTCCCAGCCTCATCCCGCCTGGCCTTGGGCACTCCCAGGGATGGGGCATCCCCAGCTTCTCTGGGAACCTGTCCCAGGGCTCCCACCCTCTGCGGGCAGAATTCCTTCCCCATGTCCTGTCTCCCTCTCCCTCTTCCCGTGCAACCCCGTCACCCCTTGTCCTGTCACCCCCTGCCCTTGGAAAAGCCCCCCCAGCTTTCCTGTACCCCCCAGGCACTGGAAGGGGCTCCCAGGGCTCCCTGGAGCTTCCCTTCTCCAGGCTGAACCCCCCAACTCCCCCAGCCTGTCCCCAGGGCAGAGGGGCTCCAGCCCTTGGAGCATCTCCGGGGCCTCCTCCAGCCTCGCTCCAGCAGCTCCATGTCCTCCTGCTGTTGGGGCCCAGCGCTGCCTGCAGCAGGAAATACGAGGCACAGGGAACTGCCTGGTTTTGTCACAAGCCGTATGGAGGGTTTAGGACATGTCTCAGACAAGAGACCTTGGGTTTTTATCATTAACCGTCTGGTTTCATGCTGGGGAGGAACCTTAAATCCTTTCTTTACTATTTCGGTAGAAGCATAGCGGAGGGAATGGCGCGTTGTTGTTTGTTCCAGACAGCAGTAGGCAGTGCAGTGGGTCGTTGTGGTGTGTTTGATTCACAAGCCGTGCTTGGCTTGGACAGTGGCGTCTCTTCCTTCTGCAGGCATTTGGGGAACATCCCAATATCATCAAGCTGCTTGATGTTATCCGAGCTCAGAACGACAAGGACATCTACCTCATCTTTGAGTCCATGGGTGAGAGCATTTCACCAGCCATCCCAGCGCAGCCTCCCAGCGCTTCTCCTGGTTCCCGCTTTGGTAACGGTGTTGGTGTCCGTGAACCCTCACGTGAGCGCGGGGGGGTTCCTACACAGTGTCCGTAGATGGGAGCTGCGGTGAAACATCGACGGGAAGAATGGTATGAGAACTGGCTGGTTGAGGTGTGGGAAAGACAGCAGTGAGCCACAGAGCAGAGGGCTGGAGGGTCGGGAGAGCTGCGTGTGCAGTGTTATTGTACCAAAAGTGTGCAAGGGTCGAACGGTTACTGTGTCACCGGTCCCGGTGACAGGGGAGTGCGGTACTCTCAGGAATTACAGCCTCGGCTTCCCCGAGGATGTGCCTGGACGGTTGAAGTTTGGACCATGGTTTCTTCTGGCCTTGCTTTGAGGAACTGACATTCGAACCCTGGTAACCCTTTACTGGTGCCAGCGTGTCACTGGTGCCAGCGTGTCACTGGTGCCAGCGTGTCACTGGGGTCAGCGTGTCACTGGTGTGAATGTGTCACTGACGTCAGCTGTCACTGATGTATTACAGAGACAGATCTACACGCTGTGATTAAGAGGGGGAATCTGCTGAAAGACATCCACAAGTGTTACATTCTCTACCAACTCCTGAAGGCAACTAAGTTCATCCACTCGGGAAACGTTATTCACAGGGATCAGAAGGTACATTGCAGTCACAGTCTTTATCCTTCACTAACATTTCCTGTTAAACACTAAGTGGAAAACTGTAGAAGGGGTGAGGCTGGTAAAAGCACACTGATGCTAATCTGCCGTTCAGAGAGTGAAAAGCTCATTGAGTTTCCTTTGCTCAATTCAGCCTTCAAATATCTTGCTGGATGCAGACTGCTTCGTTAAACTCTGTGATTTTGGGCTGGCCCGTTCTTTATGTCAGACGAACGAGGACCAAGGCAACCCTGCTCTGACGGAGTATGTGGCAACGCGCTGGTACCGAGCCCCTGAGATCTTACTTTCCTCACGGAGGTAATGGCGTAATGTGAGCGAAGGGGTGGGACTCTCATTTCTTCACTACTGGGAAAATCTATCATCTCCAGTTCTTAAATCTCCTCATTGTAGAGGCACGTGCTGTGCTGTCATGCCAGCAGTCCTTTTTCTCCATATGAATCAGAATCACGGAGCGGTTTGGGTTGGAGGGGACCTTAAATCCCCCCAGTCCCACCCTCCTGCTGTGGGCAGGGACACCTTCCACAGACCAGGTGGCTCCAAGCCTCATCCAGCCTGGCCTTGGACGCTTCCAGGGGTGGGATCTGCATTTCACCTTCAGTTCTGCAACGTGGAAACCTCGGCAGAGCTGCGTTTCCTTCTGGCTGCTTTGATTGCCCATTTGCACACCTTACCAGCTCATCTGGTTGCCATCCTTTCTCCCTGTAGACTTACTCCTTCTGCCCTTAAATCTGCATCTTTACCAAACCTGGTGATGTACCTTGGTCCTCTTCCAAATTTACAGAGTTTTTTGATGGGCCTTCAGAAAATATTCCCTAATTAACGGTCAATCAGCTGCCTGTTAGCCAGAGTGGGTCCTTTTCTGAGTTACATACACAGATCCTACTGAGCAGAAAATCGAATACAGGGTGGGTCAGCATCCCGGATTTGGAACGTGAGTGTCCTGTGAGCTGTCATTTACCTGTTGTTTGCTTTGCGTAAGTAAATGCATTATGGCCCGAAAGGTCAGTTGTTCCCAGCAGCGAGTTGTATCTTCAGTGCTGCTCACAGAAAAGGCTCCTATTGCCTGTCCTGGCACCTCCCTTTAGTGTGTTTCCTTTTGTGGTTTCCTAGAACAGACTCTGGGCAGAAGGATCTCCCCCCTTTCTGTTTGACACTTGCCACTCGTGATTCCCAGATCTCCTTCACTTTGTGGTTAGAGCCTGTGTGTCTGTTTTCTGGGAGGCAGGAAGCTGACGTAGGAGCTGGGGAGGCCGTGTACGGAGAAGGGTTTGCTCTCTTTGGTCCTCAGTCCATTCTGTTCTTGTTTGTAGTTACACTAAAGGTGTGGACATGTGGAGCATTGGCTGTATCCTGGGAGAGATGCTCCTTGGGAAACCTCTTTTTCCTGGAACATCGACAGTGAATCAGATGGAACAGATCTTGAGGGTCATTCCTGCCCCGTCCCCAGAAGGTAGGACTCTCCGTGGGGAAAGGTGGATGGAGTGAAAGCAGGGTCAGGGAAGGAGGTGTCTCTTGTCATTCCTTCCAACATTTTTCCAAGGAAATTAAAGACTTAGTGGGAAGTGTTAGAGGAAATAAGCCTGTACTTGATTAGATGGGAATGGGAACCCGATCCTCACAACACTTTGGGGCTTTACGAGAGCGTAACGGTTCAGACCAGAGTGTCCATCCCCCTGCAGGGGGGCTACAGAGTGGGGCAGATTGGACTTCTTGGTCTGGAAAGCAAAACTTGGGAAAGCTGGAGTAAGGTTGTGTTAACCCAGAAGGGTGATGGTGATTGTCTTCTCTGAGGTCGTCTGACAGCCTGTACACTTTCTGACCTTTAACACAGGTTGATGTGTCCGACCTGAGCCAGCAGCTTTAGACAAATAACTGCCTGCAGGTCAAGGACATCGCTGCTTTGGGGAATTTCATCTAAGCTTCAGCTATACATGGTTTTTATGGAGATTTGGTTGCTGTGGCTGAAATATGAATGGAAACGTGTGTGTGACAACTCCGAAGCAGGCGGATAGCCAGCACAGTAACAGAGTGCTGTTCCATCTCAGTAGCACGTTGAGCGATGAGCTGGCAGGGCCAGGGCTGCCCCTGGCAAGACCACAGGACAAAGGGTTTGTTAGCAGACGGTCCCGTCTCTTTACCACAGGACAATGCCTGCGGGTTCCAGCGTATCACAGGCCCAATTTCCTTCTCTTTTAACCAAACAAGTGCAAGTAAAGACGTGTTCAAACCATTACTGCAGACAGGGAAAACCAGCTATGAGCAGCAGCTTTGCCGAGGTTCTGGCGACCAGAGAAACAAGGCTGAAGGAAAAAGCCGTTCCATGCAAGGGCTGTCTCTTAGGGAGCGTGGCAGATACACCCAGACAACCGTTCGTTGTCACCAGTCCCAGAGAACCGCAGGGCATGTGGTGAGGAAATCAGGAGCCAGTATCCTTTGTTCTCTGTGTCCTGCACAAGCGATCCCAGTCAGACCCTTCGGGCTCAGATATCTCGGTGCTTCTGTGGGTGTGGGTGCACATTTATGGAATCTATTATGGCATGAACAGGGATTGAGACAAGCAGCTTAGAGAACTTGTACGTAAAGGTTGCACCTCCCTTCCACAAACCTGCCACTGAGCTTTGCTGGGATGCTTTCCCCTGCTGTTGTCCGGCAGCTGCTTTCCCTCATAACGGCGCAGCTCCGGTAATCCCGATCGTGGCGGTAACAGTGTCCTTTCCTCGTTGCAGATATTGCGGCTATGCAGTCGGATTTCTGTGCCTCAGTTATGAACCGTGGGGGTTCCTGGTAAGCCTGCTATGCTCTGCGTGCCTCAGGGGTCAGCAGTGCACTGTGTGACGTTGCCAGGGGTTCCTCTGAGGTCCACCCCCCAGTGCTCGCCAGGGAAAGGATTCCTGCTCCCTGCAGATTCCCCTGCCCCTCGGGAAGGGATGTAAGGGTTAAAAAGGATAACGAGAAGACCAGTGACATAACCTGGGCATAACGAAGCACAGTGTGGTTGGGCTTACGTCCCAAGCGCTTGCCATGCGTACGTTCTCAAAATGAGTGTTCTCCTGAGCTGAGTCATTTGGGTGCCCGATGCCACTGGCTTACGCATGGAGAGCCTGAATCTGTCCAGCCTCATTCCAGCTGCTTAATGATTCCACTGTGACTGGGGTTTTTTTCTTATGGTTCTTGTGGGTCGTCCTGTTGCATACACAGACTACCACACAATTCTGCATTGATTACACACCTAATTATTAAATGTAAGTAAACTTAATGCCTTTACTCTACCTTATGGCCATAGACCAGTCTCTGAGTATCCTCGTGCCTGTGATGATACAGTGGGCATCCCTTCTCATCGGGGAGTCTGCAGCGCGTAGCCCAGCCGGTGTGGTCTGAGCTCCCGGAATGCTTACTGAGAGGTTTTTATAGGTTTGGGAGGCTCAAAGCGTAAGCTCTGGCAAGTCCCTTGCTGTTCCCATGACCAGCACATGCATTTTCATGCTGACTTGCTGACTTCTTCAGTTAGCCTCTGGCTTGTTATTAGGATTCCTGGGTCAGTCTGTGCCAGGTCGCTGAGGAGCTGAGGCCCCTTTGTCCCTGCTGATTCAGCTGTCAGCACAGCATGTGCGACTGACCTTGCCAGGGGGCAGTGGATGCCACAGTATCCTGTAGGAATTTCCCTTTCTGAAGCTTGTGTATGTTGCTGCTAGTCCTTTTGCTGCACACCTCTGCTGGGTCTGGAGTGGAGTTACATTCCTCCAGAGCACCTTGTGTGCTGCTGGTTTGTCTTGGTGACTGAACAGTGTTGCTAACACAGCAGCCGCTCAGGCCACCTCTGTTGCCCACTGCCCCCATAGTGGTGTGGGGCTTCACACCGAACAGGCATGGCACCTGCTGGAGTGACAGAATGCTTGAAGAAAGGATGCCAGAGGGACACAACTCTTACACAGTGCTGGGGCCTGGCCTACACCCCAGCAGGGTGGAACGGTCTCTGGATCCGAGGACTTGCACATGGACACTGGCTGAGTCAGGGATCCAGTAACAGTTGCTTCTAAACATCGGGAAAGGAAGTCAACGTGGTTCGTAAGGGAGGAAGAAGCTTCTGAGAGGGGGCAGGAGGAAGAGGCAGAAGGGGCAGCCTGTCCTGCAGCAGAGCAGCCACAAGAGCAAGAGGGGGAAGAGGCACAGGCCATGAGTGAGCACAGAAAGCTCCCAGTCCCTATCCCCGAAGGAGCTGCGAGAGATGCAGAAGGATCACAGCTGTCGTCCAGGTGAGCACATTATCCCCTGGGTGCGCTGATGCTGGCATCCGGGGGCCAGTGCCATGTCAGGAGTCAGCAGGTAAGAAAGCCCAGCAACCGCGATCTCTTGCTGAGGACGGGGGAGCTGATGAGGGGATCAGGAGAGGCAACAACCGGCAGCTTCTGGAGGTCAATTCTGTCGAGTGTGAAGGCAAGGGGTCCCCTCGAGGAAGGTCTTGTGAACCAGTGAGGCGAGTGGAGCACCACTGAGGCAGATACCCCGGGGTGGAGGATCTACAGCAGCCTGGGCAACACGTGCAGCTCCACGGATCAAGTCCAGCGCACGTGGTCAGAGTTTGTACAGAGCACAGCAGTGTCGTGTGTCGGCACCCTGACAGTGACTGCACGGGCACCAGCGGTGGACAGACGGCCTGGCCAGCCTGGGCAGGACAGGGAGAATCTCTCTACCTCCCCAACCCTCTGGTCCTGTCGTGATTTAGGCCCAGCCAGCAACAAAAGACCATGCAGCTGCTTGCTCACTCCTCAACATGGGAGGAGAAAACGTTAGAAAAGGCTTGTGCATGGAGCCAAGGACAGGGGGTCACTCGCCCGTTCTGGTCACGGGCAACACACACCCGGCCTGGGGAAGAAAAATCAGTGTCATTAGTTACCAGTCAAACCAGAGTGGGACAATGAGCGACAAACCAAAGCAGATCTTAAACCACTTCTCTCACCCCTCCTTTCTTTGCTCCCCATTTCTCTGCCTCCTCCCCGCAGTGGCAGGGAGTTGGGGAATAGCAGTTAAAGCCAGTTCCCCACACGCTGTCTCTGCTGCTGCTTCCGCAGGGAGGGGGAATCCCCACCCCTTGCCGCAGCGGGGCTCCCTGCCACGGCAGACAGCCCTCCACCAACTGCTCTGACATGAGTCCTTCCCATGGGCGGCAGTTTTCCCCTCTAACTGCCCTGGCAAGGGTCCTTTCCGTGGGTCCCATCCTTCAGGAGTGCACTGCTCCAGCCTGGGCTTCCCACGGAGCCACGGGCTCTTCAGGCATCCCCCTGCTCTGGCATGGGATCCTCCCTGGGCTGCAGGGGGGTCTCTGCTCCCTGTGACCCCCCATGGCTGCACGGCACAGCTTGCCCTCTCCCCACAGGGCTGTGGGGCACCTCTGCTCCGGGGACCTCCTCCCCTCCTTTCTCCATTGACCTTGGTGTCTGCCTCGTCTCTCCACATCCCCCTTGTCTCTCCGCGCTCTGCACTGTTTCTCCTTCGGCTTCTGGGTCTCTTTTGGTTTTCCCCTCTTGCCCACGTCAATCCCAGAGGGATTGCTGGGGTCTGAGGGCTGGATTCGGGGATCTTTGATGCACCCAGGTCACGAGTTTGGGCTTCCTGCGTTGCCAGAACCACAGAAGGACTCACTGTCCCCTCACTGTCCAGGGGACTCGTCATTCCGCTGGCTGTGGCTGACACTGGCTGGGCTCTCACTCTTCCCACGGGAACAAGAGAAGGACTACACGTGCAAGTTAGGATCCTGGTGCTAGGGGGGAGCTATTCTGACCTAATCCCAGGGTGAACGCTTTGCTGCACTCACAGGTCGGTACTAGAGCGTCCAGGGCTGGGACAGGCTGTTGGTGAGTGAGCTCTGGCTACAGGCGTCACCTTGATAGGATTCCCGGAGCTGTAACTCCTGCCTTCGCTGCGCGTCAGCCCTGGGAGCGTCCATGCTTGTTTTCTGGCTTGTAGGCAGCGAGTAACGTTTGAGGAGATTTTGCCATCCTCGACCCCATCACCCGCCCTGGATCTTCTGAAGAAACTGCTGGTGTTCAACCCTGCTGACCGGCTCACAGCGGAGGAGGCTCTGCAGCATCCCTATGTGAAAAGGTGGGGGGAATTCCAGCGTGCACTTCCCCGGGCGGCTCCTGGGATGCTGCAGCCCCGCTTGCGGCACAAGTTTTCTGTCTGTGTGATAGAAAAACCCTGACAAAGCTCATTCTTGACTTCCTCTGGTGTGGTTTGTACAGGAGGTCACACGAGGTCACGCCACAGTCCTTTTGAACACCGGTGCCGGTTTCAGCCTTGTGAGTTCCTTTTGTGTTCTCTTCCCAGGTTTCACTGTCCTGCCAGGGAGCCATCTCTGGATTACGATGTGATTCTTCCTTTAGGTGACGATATCCAGCTGTCTGTGGCAGAATATCGAAATAAATTATATGAGGTACCTTTTCGCCGTTTTCCACACTGCTCACCCTCCGGTGACCTGCTGTCCTTGCACACAGCAGCGCCTGCCCTTTCTTCTACTTGTGTTCCGCTGGTTTTCCATGCACGCTTACAGTTACGTCTTGGTGCTTCTGAGCAGTCAGCTCCATGCTGTCATAACTTTCAAGAGGTCTTGAAATCTGGGAAAAGTCCTTAAAGCATGATGCCTGAGGAGGCCTGTGTTAGAGGGGAGCATGTGGGATCACCAGTGCAGGAGAGGTGAGGTTGCCGTCGCTCCACGGCCCCAGCGCCAGCCAGTAGCAAGGCTGAAGACGCGTTCCCGGATGGCACGTGCGCACAGAACACAGCTTCGCGCTACCACCAGCACCATCCTGCTCCCCTCCGCTGAGCAAGGTGAAGTCAGTCATGAGCACGCATGTGCCTGGGGTCCAAGGTGGACCCCAGCAGCAGCAGCTCAGCCACTGCAGAGTAGCTGGGCCCTTGATCCCAATTTCCTCAGTTGCTGGGGCTTTTGTGTACAACCCCCAAAGCTGCAGCTCCAGCTGTTGGTACGGGCCACACAGACAAACAGCTGGCCAGGGCCTTCCCGACCCCCTTACCTGACTTCTGGCTCCCTGCCCCCAGTGTTCTCACCCCTAGTGACACATGGGTTCTCTCACGCCCGGCGCTGGCCCTCGGCCACCCACTCGCACCCTCGCTCCCTGGCCACTGGCTCTATTCACCGACTGGTCTGACTTGGTCTTTGCTGGTGATCGTGTGCCCGTTGTGCACCAGCACGCTCTTCACGCTGCCACCGTGGGCACACAGGCCCTCTGACCCGTGAGCTGGCTCCGCGTCCTCCGCTCATGCCCGCAGACACCAGCAGGCAGAGCTGGCAGCTTCTCTTCAGGGGAGGGAGAGGCTTTTGGTGAGAAGGTGGAGCAGACGGCGTTGGTGAGGTGCAGGGCATGGCCAGCCAAGCTTACGGACCAGCCAGCTGGTCACACGACTGGCTGTTACCTCTTACCCCGTGTCCCACACTCATTCCTACCCAGGTCACCTAAACCTCTGTTTCCTAAGAAAAGAGGCACTGGGAAGAACGACAGGGGGAAGAGAAGACTGAGAAAGAAGCTTAGAGATCAGAAAACCCAAGACAGAAAGATGGGTGAGGGTGTCCAGAGAGAGAGGAAAAGGGTAATTGCTTCAATTAACGGCAATTAAAATTGAAATCCAGTTGAGTTTAAAGGGTTGGGCCTATTTAAGCTGTGAGGGGTTGGACAGCAGGAAACGGCTGTGGTAGAGGGGCGGGTGGATGAGTGAAGCGACTGCTGAGGAGAGGCAGGGATGATCCTCTGGGTGTCAGAGATGGACGCGGGTACCTGGGGGAGAAAGAAGGGGACAGTTGTGAACGGTCTCACTGAGGTGTCAGATGTGCCTGCGGCAGCGGAGAGCAGGCTGTCTGCACCCCGAGCCAGCCCTGCCGAGGACTCGCCAGATAAGAGCTTGTAGCAGTGGGTGAGACTCGCTAGATGAGAGCTTGTAGCAGTGGGTGAGAAATGGGTACGAACTGACTGGGATGGGTGTTGCCTCCAGCATTAAAAACTCCGCTTGCACAATCCTCGAAGGGATGGCACGGAACAACACGTGGTCACCGGTCGGGCATATCTGTTCTGCCCCGTCCATTCCACCATCAGGACGTGCTGAAGTGGCTT